TCTGCTATCTGTGTTCCCCTTCCCTTCACAGCACTCAGCGCCAGTTGCAAGAACAGAGTTCTGTGGTTAGTTTCTTAATTTTGCCTGCCCTGCTAGGTTTAGAAAAGAGGGAAATCCATGGTGATAGCAGCTGCTCCACTGGGCATAGAGCAGCATGGTGGATGCATAGATGGAGAATAGCTTAACCAGGAAAGGAAGAGCAGGGACATCAGGAAGGTCTAGGAGGAAATGCTTATGCAGCCAGAAAAGTCTTGTCATTGGTCATTATTGAGGGAGAAGGGAACAGAGTGTGAGGGGAATCGAAGTTCATTTGCTGCCTGCTATGTGCTAGGCGCGTTCCTATTTAATTCTTATCACAACCCTGGGACCGAGGATTGTTGCAGCTTTAAAAAGGTTGATGAGAGGTCGGACATGTCTTAGAGGAGGCTGAGTAGTTGGCTGCTAAGAGGCCCCTGAGCCTGGCATGAAGTTTGTGATTTTATTGCAGAATAAATATGGCCAAGGCTGGCTGCTTGGGCTCCAGGCCAGGCATCCTCTCTTCTGTTCATGAAGGCTTTTGCCAGTTAATTAGATTTCTGCTACTCAGCTGCCATCTCCCCACAGTCTTGCCTTCCTGTGACCATAGCCGAAGTACCATGACTGACAATTGGGGTCTTCCCACATGCTTTGGGAAGCATCACATTTCAGGCCATCTCTTGGTTTATGCCAACAGATGGCATATCTCAAGGGTCTATGTGGATTTTACTAACCTAACTCTCAGAAAGGAGCCTAACTTCCAGGGTGGACCATCACTTCCACATGTGGCTGACAGGTCAGGTTCTCACTGCTCTTCAGATGAAGGGCTGAAGCTTGGAGACTTCAGTCACTGCTTCAGTTGAGCTGAGGTGTGATACAGGGATTCTGGCTCCCCGGGAAGGGAGCAGAGGGACAGGTAAGGGCAGGAAGGTCTAAACTGAACAACCGTGGGTAACGAGGAATTCTAGACAGAGCATATTTTGTGATCTTGTTCTTAGGGTCTCCCAGGCCTTGGTGGAGATCACTGTCAGTTCAGTCCAGAGACACTGGATTATCTGAGTCCTGTGCCTGTCTGGTTAGAGCTGAGCCGCTGCTCCAGGGACCTCTGCGAGCTGAGGCTACTATGGTGTCCCCAGTAGGAGCTGGCTAGTGCTGCTGCCTATGATTGGGTAGGTTGAGTCTAGGGGTTGAGATGGGCTGAAATACAACCCATTTCCACTCACCCATCTTGGCACCCTGGTTTGGGCCAGTCATTGCCTGGAGGAAGGAACACCCCCTATGGGAGAGAGCAGTGGTGTGTAATTCTACCAACTTGATAGGGAGCATTTTCCTAGTTCCTACAAACCTCCCTATGTGCTAGGGGCTGTCCGGTTGTCCTTGTTCCTTAGCTCATGTCAGCTGACTTTCTGAAATGTATATATACATTCAAATACTTGGCCCTGGCCCCTGCAGGGGTCAACAGAAGCCATCTGGGTACATCTGTTGGCCCAGGGGTGAACAGCAACCTGGCCTAGAAGTCAGATGAGTGGGTTGTGTACAGAAGGATTTGAGCTCTGCAGACCCCTCTCAGGTCCCCAGCTTTCTGGAAAGCCCTCTAGGCAGCCAGCACAAGGTCAAATGCTTCTGTGCAGCAGATCCCTGCAGGGGGATTTGTTCTGGGAAGGGAATTACATTTCAATTTGATTTAATTCAATGAGAATGACACCAAATTGATCAGCTGGTAAAATGCTGTTTGATGGGCAGATCTGCTCTTTCCAAGTCAATAGGAACCACCAGAAAAAATCAGTCTTTCTTTTTCAGACAGAACCAAAAGTTTCAGCCATTTCCTTTGCCTTTTAAAAAGGGTTCCAGCTCCCCGAAGGTGGAAAGCCTTTTCCTGATAACTGTGGAGGCCTGAGCAAGTTGATTACCCACCAGGCACCCTTGGTACAAAATGCAACTTCACTGTTGGGGTGTGTGGGTGCATGGGTGTGAATACTCGTTTCTTGTATGTGTGTGTATGACGATATGCATGTACACATAACCAAATAATATAATCACTCATTTTGTGCCAGACTTTTGTGTGATCTTTGGCTAGTTCTCAGATTTTTCTATCTGTAAAACTGACATGTAGCTTCCTTGGTCCATTGGCCACTCCCTTTGAGATAGCAATAGGAACAACCATGGTAGCCTATGACCACTGTGCCACTGGTTCAACAGACAATATTCTCATCATTTCTTTACCAGTTACTATATGCTAGACCATATTTTTTTGGCAGTACTGGGGTTTGAACTCAGGGCCCCATTCTTGCTAGGCAGCTGCTCTACAAATTGAGCCACTCCACCCGCCCTAGGCCATATACTATTGAATTTACACTATACCATATGCTATTGAAAACATCATATGCATCAAATCTCATAATCTTTGTAGTAATTCCAGCGGTGATTCCAGCGATAAAACAATGCCTTGCCCACACTAAGAATTCACCAGATTTTGTTAAATGTGTAAAAGAAATGGCCAAGCAGTGATGGCTCACACCTGTAATCCTAGCTACTTAGGAAGCTGAGATTGGGAGGATTGCTATTCAAGCCCAAGCAAACAGTTCATGAGAACTATTTCCAAAATAACCAGAGAAAAATGAATTGGAATTATGGCTCAAGTGGTAGAGTGTCTGCTCTGCAAACATGAAGCCCTGAGTTCAAACCCCATTCCCACCAAAAAAAAGAGGTAGAAAAGGCTGAAATGTCTGTCAAGGCAATTTCTATTCTACAATATCTCTAGCACTTACCCTAGAAATGTATAAAACTCAAATCTCAATGAGCTAAAAATGTAAATAATCATCTTTGTTGAAAATGAGAAATAATATTTGATTGGGCCTGGAAACAATTAATTACTCCCATCCTCACATCTCAGGTCTAGCATGTGATGGAAACCACAGACTCATGTGACCCCTGCCCTAGGGCTTGACTCAGGGCAGAGCCACATGGCCTGGTCTGAACCAATCAGCATCCTTCCCTGGGATATTTCAAACTGCAAGCCAGGAAGAGTGGCCAGAGAAACAAACCCGAGACTGGAAGCAGCTGCTGGCCCTTCCTCCATGCATGAAAGAGTGATTCCCAATGCCCTGTCAACACAGCCTGCCTGTAACATGAGCACCTTAGCACTGTAGTCCTGTCATGGCATGGTCGTGATAAGTAAATCCATGTGTGTCTGAGTCTGGGTTGAAGCAGATGCACAAGTACTGTTTGTTTCTTTGCACCACCCCTTGAAGCTTCTTCCTTCTCTGCCTCCTCCCTTGTCATCTCAGATACAGGTGTCCCTCCTCCTGTCCAAAAGCCATCTCCACCCCCTTCCCTCCCTACTCAGGACCTTGCTTCCTCACTCCTCAGCTGGAGAAGGGAAGGCTGTGCTCACCTTTAGCAGGGGATTCGGAGCTCTGACAGGCTCATCCCCCACCCCTCCATGCAGTCACACAGCTTGTGCCCAAATGCCTGTCACAGAGGCAGAGGCTGAGCTGAATACAATGAAGCCTCTGGCGCCTTATAAACTGAAGAGGGCTCCATAAAATGTGTAAAAGGGAAAGGGCTGTCTGCATGTAAGGGATTGTGATTGTGGTTTTATTAGCCAAATAGATAACCCTCATCATGAAAGGAGCCTTTCTGAATGATGGATGGCTCTGAGGCCCCAGAGGGACATGGGGATTTCTCAAGGCCGCCAGTCAAAGAAGTTAACCATATAACATTTCTCTCTCCATAGCAACCAGCCTGGCCTCCTCCGCCTGGCCCCAGCCCTGCGCCTCTGGAAGTCCCTCAGCTCTAGTGGCTGCTGCCTGCTGCAGCCCGCCATCTCTAGGCTGGCTTATTGGCAAGCCCCAGTTGTCAGAAAGGACGGGAGGGGTGTGTGGCAAGAACCTATAGTCCAGGGCCTCTGGCTCCCGAATCATTCTGCTCAGCACTGCCTGGCTTCTCTCAGCCTCTAGCAGTCACCCAGGAGTGAGTGCCCCCAGGGGGCCTAAGGAGAGGAGAAGGAAGCTAAAGCAGGGTCCTAGATACCAGGTACTGGACAAGTTCGTTGTCACAATGATCCAGAGGCAGGGAAGCACACCCCCATGGTAGAGATGAGAAAATGGAGAGGGTCAATGAGGTGAAGAGACCCACCCAAGGTCACACATCTAACACGTGGCAGAGTCACCCCGATGGTCTTGACTCCCCAGCCTGCTCCCCACACCATCACTAACATAGCCAGAAGGGAAACAGAGCGGGGAAGATCCTGCAAGGAGGGGGTGGTCTCAGCAGGCAGGTCCCTCAGAAGGCCTTGCGTGGCCTCCCATGCCCCCAGTTCCATCAGGATGGCCATCAGTCTGGGAACACAGACACCCTCATCCCTGCTCCACACAGCAGACAATAGGGATGGCAGCTATAGACAGCTCCTTCCAGATGTCTGGCATGAACAAAGAGAGGAAGGTTGGGAGAATGTAGACACACACACACACTGGCCCAGAGAAAAAGCAGTGCATGGAAATGAAGAGGGACAGTCAACTCACAGCATGAGCTCCTAGAGAGGGGGAGGTAGGAAGGCCTAAGACCCACAGCAGGGTTCCTCGAACTTTCTCCATACAGGACCAAGGGGAAACATTCTCAGTTCCCAGTCCCTACGACAACCAGCCAGCTGACCCCACCACAGTACAAAAGCATCCTCAGACAATGTGTTCACACAGGCCTTGGCTGTGTCCCAATAAAAACTTTATTTATACAGCAGGGTGCAGACTGGATTTGGCCCATGGACTGTAGATGACCAAGTCATCTACATATGCTCAGATGCTCAGATACTTTGGGAGGAGCCATGGAAGGGGGTGACAAACTTTGGAGAGAAGGGAGATCTCATCATCAGAACTGCCCACTGTGTGGTCACAGAGTAGGTACGCACTGAACACCCACCTGAACTCCTGGACTCTGACACAGAAGGAAAGAAGGCTTTGGTAAATTTGCAGAGAAATGTTGAGATAGGGAGCTTAGGGCAGGTGGTCTTCGCCCTCTGGAGAGAAAAGAAAGAATGAATCAGGTGATGTAGCAGAATCACATCCTAGCAATACCAAAAGCAGGGTCCAATGGGGTTCATTAATGCCCCCCACTCCAGAAAAAGAAGGTCTCTACTAGTGAGTGGAACTCGGAGATGGAAGGCAGCTTTGAACTCTGTTGATAACACACAGCCAAGTTAGTTACAAATGTGTAAAACAGTCCTGAGCTCTGAGCCAAAACTTTGCAGACAGAAGCCAACTGGCTTTCCAGCCCAGCACTTTCAAATCACTGGACAGGCAGTGCACCCAGAAAGGGCCACCAGGGATAGGTACCTGTGTGACAGATGGCATTTTCTCCACCACATGTGCATCTCTGTCTAGGGTGAGAGCTGTGTGCTGTACCCCCTCTCTGGTTTCCTTGGACCCCTTGTGCCTGAGTGCTGAAGCTGAGACAATAGCTGGGCTTCCTACTTCTGTGTGCTTTGAAATTCCCTTAGCTCCTGCCAGTTTCCAAGTTGGTCCTCTAGCTGAGGCCACCATGGTGGCCATGAGGCTCCATGCAACTCCATAGGACAACCAACCAAGGGCCACAATAGACACAGTCTTTATAACCACCCATCCTTAAGAGATGGATTTTTGGTTTTGGCTGGTTGGTTGATTTGGTTTGGTACTGCAGTACTGCAGGTTGAACCCAGGGCCAAGCACATGCTAGGCAAACACTCTACCATTGATCTACACCCCCAGCCCCTTTTATATTTCATTTTGATGCAAGATCTCGTTAAGTTACAGTGACTGCTTCAAACTCATGACCCTCCTGCTCCAACCTCCTGAATTACAGACATGTCCCACCCACCCCAAGCTGGTAACCCCCTATTCTTATGGCAGTTTTATAGAAGAGGGACTTGAAGCACTGAGAGGTTACACAAGGGCTGAGCAACCCAATTCCTGACCCAGTACCCCTCTATGTCACACCAGGATGATGAACTCAAATGCCCCCAGGGCCCAGATCTGTAAGGTAAGCAGGCCAAGGGTGGGCATAAGTGCCCAGGCACATGCTGTGTAAGTGGTAGAGGCCATGGCAAATGGAAGGGATATCTGTGTGAGGGGACAATCCTTAGAGGTTCACCATATTGCTAACCCGGGCAAGAAGCCAGGAAAATAAGCTTGATATGGCCAAATCTTCTAGTTCTTCAAGAAAAAACAGGACCCACAGAGAGACCCAGAAGAATCCAGACAGACCTTGCTGGATCCCCCTTTAATCCCATACAGTGTATCAGACCTTTTTGTCCAATCATTTCTGCACAGTTGTCCATTTTTCATTGAATCTAAGAATAAAAATGCATTGTATTTTTCTGGGTCTTTGGATCTTCATTTCTAAAAGCTCCCTTGTCACATAAAACTTTGATTAAATAAATTAATTTTGCTTTCAAAAAATAAAAAAGAGGAATCAAAATCCAGGGTATTAAGTGAAATCTCTTAATTTTTGAAAACTGTCTTAAATTTTTTAAATGTTATGAGACCAAGCAAAACACACTTCCTCGCACACTCCCCCTCCCCCATCCCTTTATACCATCTCTATCTCATCTCATGAAATTCATAGGCCAGCACCTAACAGGTAGATAAAACTCATCCCATTTAACAGATGAGGTCACTGAGACTAAGAGAAGAAGGGGACTTGCCTTGACCTTGTGGAGTCACTGAGACTAAGAGAAGAAGGGGACTTGCCTTGACCTTGTGGAGTCAGTGCTTTCTCTGAATCCTGAACGCCCCCATCAGTGCCAGTCTACTGCCCAGATGGACAAACCCCAGGATGCATAATCTCTCATATGTATCCCTGGTGTCTGTCCCCCAGCACTGTGTGTGGGGTGAGGACTGGACTCTGATGCAGCACTGAGAGGAGCTAGGCCCTAGCTAGGTCCCTTCAGTGTCAGGCATCATTCCTACTTGGGCTCAGCTGGTATTGTCAGCTACTTCCCAGGGGCTGTCACTGACTGATGGGGGGACAGTAACCCCAGGAAGCCTGGGTCATTGAGATAGCAGTCAGCAGACCAGGTGGCCAAGTGCCCCAGTTAAAATAGAAACAACAGGAGCCCAACTGACCATCCAGAACCTGCGCTTCTGCTTCTGAGGATGGTTCCTCTTGACTGAGCCTGGATGTCGAAACCATCTGGTCCGACTTTGTTTTGTGAACTTTATTATAAACATACAAGAGGATGTGAGCCGAATGCTGGTTCAATTAGGAGAATCTGTAACTGGCCAAACCCAGCAAGTGTTTATAAACCTAGAAGAAGGTCTCTGGTGGCCTGCCACGGGATTCTGGCCTCAACTTTGACCTGCACAACATTTTTATTAATGATAATGACTTAGTTGAAAACATAATAGGCCTGTTTACAAAATCTGTAGTTGATTCTAAAAGGGGAAAGAAAAAAAAAAGGATAGCAGATTACAAAAACATCGACAGGATCCAGATGGCTCTAGACAGGCTGGGCAGATGGGCTGAATTTAACAAGATAAAATGAAACAAAGACAAATGTCAGGTCCTGAATTTGGCTTCAAAACAATAACTGCTCGAGGACAGGATTGAAGTGGTGGGATGACCATGAGTCTTAGCAGCAGCTCTGACACTGAAAAGTAAATCCAGGATGTTCATCACAGTATTATTTATAGTAGCATAACACTGGAAGCAATCTACATGTCTAGTAGACATGGTTCATCTGGACACTTGACAACTATAAACCTGTTAAAAACAATAATGCATAAGAATATGTTTAATGCCATGGGAGAATATTAGCAATGAAATATAAGTAGCTTATAAAGTAGTATGTATAGTGAGAGCCAATTTTTATCTTTAAAAAAAGATTGAATAGGTTTATTAAATATATGAGGCACCTCTGCCCTGTAGCCCAATTACATAAATCCAATCATCTATAGGAAGGTGAAACTGCTGATCCGTTATTTCAAAGACTTGTAAGCTAGCAAGGAATGATTTGTTCTGGATTAAGAAAATGTGGTATCTATACACAATGGAATTCTATGCAGCCATGAAGAACGAAATGTTATCATTCGCTGGTAAATGGATGGAATTGGAGAACATCATTCTGAGTGAGGTTAGCCTGGCCCAAAAGACCAAAAATCATATGTTCTCCCTTATATGTGGACACTAGATCAAGGGCAAACACAACAAGGGGATTGGACTATGAGCACATGATAAAAGCGAGAGCACACAAGGAAGGGGTGAGGATAGGTAAGACACCTAAAAAACTAGCTAGCATTTGTTGCCCTTAACGCAGAGAAACTAAAGCAGATACCTTAAAGCAACTGAGGCCAATAGGAAAAGGGGAACAGGTACTAGAGAAAAGGTTAGATCAAAAAGAATTAACCTAGAAGGTAACACCCACGCACAGGAAATCAATGTGAGTCAATGCCCTGTATAGCTATCCTTATCTCAACCAGCAAAAACCCTTGTTCCTTCCTATTATTGCTTATACTCTCTACAACAAAATTAGAAATAAGGGCAAAATAGTTTCTGCTGGGTATTGAGGGGCGGGGGGAGAGGGAGGGGGTGGAGTGGGTGGTAAGGGAGGGGGTGGGGGCAGGGGGGAGAAATGAACCAAGCCTTGTATGCACATATGAATAATAAAAGAAAAATGAAAAAAAAAAAGGAATGATTTGTTCTGACTAGAGATATGGTCTACTATAACTAAAGAGATTTTTATTTTAAAAGTCATAGCACTTGTAACATAAAAAACCATTTGTAACATTGGATATAAAGAGATTTTAAGTATTTAAATTATTGTAGCCATTTGACCATAAATGAAGTAGACTGCAAAGTAGACTTGGTCTTTGACCATTGAAGGTGTAACTGCTGTGTTTTCTAAGACTGATTTTAGGCAATTTATGTACTGTGTACCAATGATACATAAAATAAAGCACTTTTTCCACTATATACACAAAAAAGAAAGAGATTAAAAAAAGGGTATGGGAAGATATATACCAAAATGTGAACCTGAAATTCTCTAGGTAGTGCTAGGGGTAACCTGGGGATAGGGGAGGTCGCAGTAAGTCTGTAAAGTGTATGAAGGTTTTAGAAATCTAATGCAATCCTTAAACATCTAAAACCCTAGTGTCCAAGGAGTTGACAAAAGAAATTCTGCTATACCTTGGTACATTCAGGACTTGAGTCTTGAGTCTAGTTCCAGGAGGCTCCCTTTGCAACTTGGTAATAGATGGTGAAAGCAAACATTCTAAGTGATTACAGTGTGCCATGCAGTGTGCAGCTCTTTAAATCAGTTAACTCACTCAGTAGATATAATGTCTCATGGCTATCCATGATATGGATACCAGTGCTTCACAGACAGATACCTCCACTTTACAGAGAAAGTTCAGAGAAGCCAAGAAACATGCCAAGACCACACAGTTAGTGAACAGAAGTACCAAGATTTGCTGGAGACATTACACTCGGAAAAAGAGACAGCTTCCTTATAAATATTGTGCTGCCAGGCATGAAGCATTACCCACAGGCCCAAGCAGGAAATCCTCTGTGTTAGGAGGGTCACCAGGGGTTCTAATTGACTAAGGGTTTCCAGGCTTCTTGGAGAAATTGGGAAGGCACCATTGGGATAGAATGTTGGACCCATAGGGACTGAAGTCCATCCCTGAATTCTGGAATTGTGACCCTCTCTCATAGAAGGTGAAGAAGGTTCTGGCTCTCAGGTTTGGGGAAGTCAAAGAACATAAGATTGGGGTGGGGGAGAAAAGTTAGGGATGTGATCTCAAAACAAAAATTAGTCATGGGCTGGAGGTATGGCTTACATGATAGAGTACCTGCCTAACAAGTCTAAGAAGGAGTTCAAACCCCAATACCAAAAAAAAAAAAAAAAAAACTCATATCCTCCCCACCTCAACCCTGCCCAGCCTCTAGGGAACTTGGTTTCAGCTACTTCCATCAAGAACTGAACAATCTAAAATATGTGTCACTCCTTGGTAGCCAGACCATATCAGATCAATCAAAGGGTTC